CTAACTATACCATTGCACTGATAAAATTTATACATGATCGTGGAGTTAAACACTCAACTATCATGTTACCCTTATTTTTAAGTGGGGATAGACAAGTTTTCACAGCCTTCCTTTCCCTTAAGAATGAAAATGAATTGATCCATGTAGATAGAAAGGCATTACAGGCAAAGGCCAATAGCTTTAGAGTTTTTGAAAAGAATAATCCAATGCTCACAAGTAGCAAGTAGTAGATCAAAGGGATGAGTTTGTACTTAATTTAAGATGTTGGCTAGGATGCCAAGAGTTGCCGAGTAAGGACTGATTAGTTGCTAAGTCCAAAATGAGATCAACCAATCAATTTAAAATTATCATGATTAGGGTTAGATCAATTACTAAAATTAGTCTTATAATTAATTTAAGAAATCTAATAATTAACAAATAAAAAAATTATTTAATATTTTATATTAATTGAATAATCATAGATAAACAAAAGTATCTTGAAATTGATATTTCACCTTATGTAAGATATTTCAAATTTAATTTAAAATTGTTTTAAATATTTAATAATTAAAAAATAGAGAGTGAATATCAAATGTATCATTTATATTATTTAATTATGAGAGACTATAATGAAGAGTACCCAATATAATGCATTATATATTACATAAATTTGATAAATATTTTTTAAAATGACCCATTGAAATCATTTATTTAGGTATGTTATAATAATAGAATTAAGAATTTAATCAAATTGAAAACTACAAAATAGTAAATTGATAGTTTCATAGATTTTCAAGAGTTGAATGTTATGTAAGAAATTACCCCAAATTTTAAATTTTAGAGATGGCATCATTTTCAAATAAGCCTACTTATAATTATGGAATTTCACAAAACTTTTTTTAAGTAAAAAAAATTGTCTCAGATAGGCAGAACTACCAACATCCAACATCTATTCACCATGTAAGATCATGACTTAAGTTTCCCTCGGGACAATTTTTTTATTGCTTTCTAAAGCAACTTTTTAGTACAAATTTTTTTATGATCGCCCCAAATGAAGCCTTGATATGCAGATAAGCAGAAAGTGAGAGGTACCATTCAATAAGAACTAAACAAATCAATTACCAGACCAGCTAACAAGGAGAAAAAATAGCGCAACTAAGTCCTCCAGCCCTTTTAGCCTAGTGACAAACACACAACATAGCTGGAGACCTTGAATTACAACCCATGCATTTGACAACTTATTCAAGAAAACACTTTACAAGAAGATCACACAAAGATCTCACTGCCTAAAAGTAGTAAAACCGTCTCCCCTGTAATCTGTGTAAAGTATACCACAGAAGCGAAGGCAAAGCAGATTTTTGATGGCATACACTTAGGCTTCATTTGAGGCGGCTTTTTTTTTTGCTTTTTAAAACAACTTTCTAGTATAAAAATTTTTTGAATTTGAAATTTTTGTTCTAAAAAGCCGTTTTAAAAAGCAATACGAAAATTATCCCAAATGAAGCCTTAAAGAGATCAAAATGCTTGCCATCCACTCATTGTAGTCTATCAACCAGACCGATTGGAATTGCAGCTGAGGATTGCTGGTAAGTAGTCAATGATGTGTCGATCATCCTCGCTCGCGGCTCGCAGGACCGAATGCTACTACTTGTTTGTTGCAGAAGCTGGACTAATGACAGAAATATATCCATTCTTGTAACATCTCTGTTTGCCTGCAAAAAGAAAGAAATGAGATCATTGCTGATTTGAAGAAATAGACACAATATGGTTAGATGTGGAGTAACTATGCCATGCACCTCAACAATGAACCTTGCCCAAACTTTTCTTCCACGATTTTCCATTACTCCTTTCAGGATGGTCAATCCGAATCCTCGAACAACATCGGCAATCTCGAGAAAAAAACCTCGTTCTTCGCAGAGCATCTGTAAAAAACGTGCATTATGTTTGGGATGAGGATGAGGATGGGGATGAAGTTGGTAAAAGAATGGAATATATCTGGGTGTCTCAAAATTATTAGATTTGTTTTGAGATAAGTGTAATTAAAATTTTGATTAGAACTAATGGCTTTGAGAGCTATTCTAACTTATATTTTATTTGGGAATCAAATTTTGATTAGAATCGAGTTTCGTTTGGGACGACTTTCTTAAAACAGCTTTTAGTACAAAAATTTTAATTTTTGTATTAAAAAGTTATTTGAAGAAGCAGTAAGAAAATCGTTCCAAACAAAGCCTCA